GCGTAGTGTCATTTCAGGTTTCTCCATGTTCAAGAGTCTCGTCTAGGGTTCTTGGAACCTAGACGTGTTCTCAGGAAACGGACCAGATTCGGGCCATATGCGGTCCCATTCGAGAACCTACGGACCAGTTGCGGGCCCTCTGTGGTCCCATTCGAGAAACCTGGATCGAAGCGGGGTTGCGCGGAGTTCCGCGGGGCTTCCCCCGTTTCCCGCCCAGGGAAAACAAAAAAAAAAAAAGGCGATGTACCTATACGGTTCCTAGCGAATTGTTCATTCCCGATTTGCTGCATCTGCTACCCAGTGGAGCCCATTTCCGATTACAACGAAGGGCGGAAGGGAGTTCCGGTCGAACGTGATACTTCATCGACGTGGTGTTGTGCAGCACATAGGAGATGCCATGGCAGGCAGCACTCGCGTCGACAGTAGCGCGGGTACGGCGCAGGAACAATCCTGAAGTTCTTCGAATGCACCCGTTCGTAAGTGGGGTCCACGTTCATGTAAATAAAACAGCGGAGCCACTGCGCTGATGGCCACGGGCGGGGCGAGTACTGGAAACGAGAAGTCCTGCGGGCGCTGGCAAGCCCAACCACGCGCGCCAACCACCTCCACATCCGCATACCCTCCCCAGACCTGCGCAGAGAGCAGTGCGATCCCGCGTGATCGTCACCCCACTCTCGAAATGTGCAAAATGAGAATGAACTTCCCCCTATAACATGGCCAGATGCACCCGTTACATTTTTGTCTTTTTCACATTTGCAGACTGGTGTGGCGAGTCCCTAAGTGCAGCGACAAGGGCAAGAAAGCCATTTTTGAGAGCCGGACAACGCTCGAACAACTCTTGTTCAAGATTCTCGCGAGTTTAGAGTTAGCGCAGCGAGGGCCCATTTGGAGTACATTCGGGCTTTTGCTCTGTTTACGGACGCATAATAATGTTACAGTATTATATTAGCATTAATACAATGGCCACGACTTGTTCTTCCTTTGTACTTCTTTCGGACCATTTCTCGATTTCTTAGTGACGTACTAAAAAAACATACACAGAGGGCATGCTATACTTCTTTCGGGGCATACTCACACAATCACTTTTTTACTTATTTCCGGACGGTATTGCGGTCGCATGCATACGGGTCCGGCCGTATATGCCGTCAGATACGCTTACGATATTGCTAGTGTGAATACGCCCTCTGTATCGTTCCAATTTTTGAACGCAGATACGATAGCGCTAGTATGAATACGCCCTCTGTATCGATCCAATTTTTGAACGCAGATGTGATGTCCGGAAAAGCCTATGGCAACGTATTTTTTCATTTTCTATTTTTATTTATTTATTTGGGGGGGCGGAGGGGGGGAGGAGAAGGGGGAGGGTGAGGGGCCAGCGAGTTCGCCTCGTCGCATTAGTAAAATAAATGTCAAGAGAAAAATACAACGCATGCCACTCTTTAGAGCATACTCACACAAAAGCTCTATCTTACGTGTACCAGACTGCACTAACGGCCAGACCTGGATACATCTGACCTCAAGTACGTCCATCTGCATCTGAGGGCACGTACGTCCGTAGATAAATCAAAAAGGTCCCAGTGCGAGTATGCCCTATGTCAAAGCGGCAGCACCCCACACAACCCCACCGCCATCTCTATAGCAGGCAGAAGCAAGCCTGCGGGTATATGGGCCTCGCCGCACCAGTCACCAAATGTGGAAAATGAGAATGAATCTTCCGCTGAAGGATGGAAATATACAACCGCCATATTTCGTCTTTTCTGTATTTGGACGAGTGGTAAGCAAAGGCAATGCGTCTATGCATATGCTCATGTGGGTTTTTTACTTGGACAGCTGAAAGGCAAAGGCGGCAGAAGTATATCGCCCTCGCTCCGCTACTCACGAAATGTGCAAAATGAGAATGAATCTTCCGCTAGATCATGGGAAGATACACGGCATATTTTTTCGTCTTTTTTGCACGTGGTGAGTAGTGGAGCGGAGGCCTATACTCCGTGCTGCTGCCCATCTGGGAGTAACTGAGTTGAGGCAGCGCTCTTTTTCTTGCGAACGCTTCAAAACAACCGATTCCTTGCTTGGCCTCTATATCGCTCAATGGGCCTCGCTTCAGCTCTCACAAATTGTGTCTTTTGTGCAATTTTCTTTTTTTTGGTGACGGATGCGGCCATGCCCAATGAACCAATACGTACGACTACCGTGCCCAATGAACCAATACGTACGACTACCGTCTTCCCCCGAACATAACGCACCCTGAAATTGAACGTATGCAAGCTATATTTCCGGTCCGGTACAGCCAAGATGAGGGTGCGTTGTGTTCGGGGGAAGACGGTAAAACGCTCCAGCAGTTCTTTTTCTTGATGAGAACTCTCGGCAGAGGTATATATTACGTCAGTAAATAAATAAATAAATATATATTCTGTTTGTGACGATATATATATTACGTCAGTAGCGGACACTGCGCGGGAGACGGCGCGATAGGCACGATGAGGCTGAGGCTAGCGACTCTGTGCCGATGCGCCGATGCGCGGCGGAAATTCCGCAAGAATATGGAAGGATACACCCCCATGATTTTTGTCCTTTGTGCATGTCGAGAGTAGTGGCGCGAGGCCCGAGGCCCCTAGGGCCTAATTGCACTACTCACTACTCAACACTCTGTACGCATTTGTACGCCGTTTTAGACCACGTGCGTTTGTTGGAGTCCAACATTTGAAATGTATCTGGACGGTTATGAGCTCCCGCTGCATACAGAGTGTTTTGGAGTGGAGCCAGGCCCATAGACGAGACGAGACGAAAGCGAGATGTTCAACCGCCTCGCTCCACTCCTCAACTTTCGCAAGTGTGTATCGGACTCTGTCATGGACGACAGACATTTGAACCGATCCAACATTTTGAATGTATCCAACCGATTGCAAGGTCCAGATCCTTCTATAATGATGTGGAGTGTAGCGAAGCCCGTTCACACTGATTCTGGCTCTGCCGTGCATCAGGAAAAAAAAAAAAAAAGAATCGTTCATCACGTCCGAAAAATCACGACCAAAACAAAAACCATCAAAGATCAAACAGCCGTATAACACCCGAAAACCCTCAGAGAGCGCTAGGCAAGAAAAAAGAAAAAAGATCTCTTCAATAAATAAATAAATAAAAAAAGATATCACATTGTCCAGAATTCAAAGACCACAGGCCGCACAGAGCGTTCACAGGCCGCACACAGCGCACACAGCGCTCTGTGTTGTGCGCACAGATCTGCGATACAACAAGGTTTTCTTCCCGATGGCGCAAAACCACAATTCTTGGATGGTATAGCTTAAGGGTATTCTTGAAGTGAAGGAGGGGCTACGTTTCCGGCAGGGGAGGGCCATCCCTCGTCGACCTTACCCTGAACTGAGAACCGACTGAGGAGGGAGGGAGAAGGGGGGGGGGGGGGGGAGGAAATCAACGGCGGGTCACCAAATCCTCTCCTGTGTTCGGAGGGGGAAAAAAAAAAAAAAAAAAACCTCCTGTGCCACAAAGCGCGTTTATAACTCACAGTTCCGTCCAACTTCGATGACTGGTTTGCAAGTCGAGAGGCCTCGCTCCACTACTCACCAAATGTGCAAAAATGAGAATGAATCTTTCGCTAGAACATGGAAAGATACACCTCCATATTTTTTGTTTGCAAGCATGTGATGAGTAGTTAACACGCCATACTCCAGAGGCTCTTTGATTTGCCTTCCTTCCACTTTTTATTTTTTGATGGCGAATTTTGTATCCCCTTTTTCGTTTTCGGGAGAACAATCAGTTCTCTGTATATTCTGATTGGCGTCCGCAAATTTCCGGGCGCGGCTTTAAATCCCACAAAGTCGTCAATCAAGAAATAATGACCGTCTGTTTCTCTCTTTCACCCAACGAAGCAATATGGTTGTTTTTTCTTTTTTCTTTTCGTTTCTTTATTTTCGGTACCAAGCAAGGGATGTTGCTAATTTGCCCTTTTTTTTTCCCTTGCAAACTTACCCTACTGCACCCATTGTCCCTCGCGTGTGTTACGGCCTCTACTACAGTTTTAACTTGGCTCCTGTCTATCTACGCTAGCTATGTTTTTTTATCAATCAGCAAAAGGAAAGAAAATCAGGAACGAACCAAAGAGAGACGCGCGAATCACGTCTGCATTGCATCTTTCATGACGAGAAACAGCGTCCCGTTAAGAAGAAACAGAAGAAAGGAAACAAAAAAAGAAAACAGAAAGAGACAAACAAGTTAACGTAGAGAGGAGATGCACGGCATACGCGCGGGATGGAAAGTACTCACCATTGTCTGACAAGATCATCTTGGAGAAAACGTACACTACCAGGAAAACTCTATGTTCACCGACCGTAAGAAGGCCACCATAGCTGGCTCGCCTACCCGTAGCCTCTCTCTCTCTCTCTCTCTCTCTCTCTCTCTCTCTCTCTCTCTCTCTCTCTCTCTCTCTCTCTCTCTCTGTGCGTGTGTGAATGTGTGTGTGTTACGCAAGCGCGCGCCCGCTCGCTCGCTCGCGCTCACGCTCGCAGGAGAGGGGGTCTGAGAATGGAATTTCAATTGACTAAAAAATTGGTAGTTCGCGGAGACGCTTACGAACAAGTCCGAAGCGATAGATCACTTGCGCCATACACACAAACGGGAGAGAGATAAAAGGAGGTCGAGAAAAGAGGAGAATGCGGGCCTAACATTCGACTGATCGCTCGCTCCCAAGATGGTCGTCGTCACCGGCCTGCACTCTACGTTCATCCTGCTCCCACGAACGAGACCAACACCCAGCTGCATCGACCGTCTCTCTCTCTCTCTCTCTCTCTCTCTCTCTCTCTCTCTCTCTCTCTCTCTCTCTCTCTCTCTCTCTTCATATGTCCGCCCACACACATACGTCTTGCGCGTGAGTGGACTTTCGTTTCTCTTTCCCTCTTTCCCTCCACCATCCACCAAGAGAGGACTAAGTTCAAGAAGGGAAATCAAGCAAAAAAGAAGAAAAAGAAAAACAACCCTGCAATGCGTACCTTGGCATGGTCTGGCGACACCTTTTTCCTAAAAATCTTGTGTAACCACTTCGCCATCAGGCCAGTTTTCCTCCTCCGCCTGGCCCTGCTTGGCTTCAGCGTGACAAGCAACCAGTAGAGACGGAACACAAACACATGCCCACAGACATCCCAAGAGAACCACTGGTCAGTATCAGACCATCAGGCGGAGAGACCTGACGAGTATAGCAGCCGCTACCTGGGCTTGCGGGGCAGGCTACCCGAGCAAAGAAGATGTTCACAAGAACAGCATCATCCCCACATCAATGTTTAACGGGAGCGTCCTCCATAATTCACAATTATGCGCACCGATCTGCCAAACCAGCCGCACAACACTAAGCAGGATAGATGTACCGACAGACAGCCACACAGAGACAGATAAGCAGTTGGGGAGAGGGCGAGAGAGTACTACAGTAGCAAACAGATCAAGAGAACGAGAGAGATAGAGACAGACAGACAGACAGACACACAGACAGACAGACGAACTCCTTCCGACAGGGCGGCTACATAGTCGCGCTAATAAGAGTCGCTACTTCTCCGTGGCAGGATATGCGCCTACGACCTCTCCGCCCCCCCTTTTTCCCCTCCCCCCTCCCCCCTCCCGCCTCCCCTCTCTCTCTCCTTGCCATTCAACATCTGATTCCGACTCGCCGATGTGATGATCGGTATCGATTCTATCGAACGTACACATACTCACAGCACCACGGTGCGACAGCGCTCCAGCACAATAGCGTTGCAGTGCGACAATGCGCTGTCGCACCGTCTTGCTGACAGAATCTTTCTTTTACCTCCGAACCCGATCATCACCTAAGCGAGTCGAAATCCCAGCGCTCGGCCCAGCACAATGAGCGTGCGACGGCCTTGCGTCCTCCAGATTGCCGCCCACTGCATTGTGCGACAATGCAGTGGGCGGCAATCTCGAGGACGAAAGGTCACCCCGTGCTCGACCACCTAATAGTGGACACAATGGGCCTCGCCCCACTCCTCTGCAAATGTGGTAAATGAGACTGAGACTGAATCCTCCACTGGAACCTGGGAAGATACACAGCCATAGTTTTTGTCGTTTGCGCATATGGAGAGTAGTGGAGCGATGACCATTCTTCTTCCTTTCGATTCCTTACAAACATTGACGTCATCAGCCGCCTCCTGCTTGAACCCCGCGCAATCCTTCTTTCCTCTTCTTGCCACCCTGGTCGGCTTCCTTCTTGACATCCGCTATCTTGCTGCCACGTGGCCAAGGCATGGCATCTCCAGAGAGAGACATACGTACAGACCGACTAGCATTAGCACGGACGTGCATGTTCGTCCGTGCGCAGATGCACCTAGCGCACACTCGTGACCAAGTACAAGCCAGAACCCTGCACGGCCTGCCGTGGCGCGCTCCAAGTACGAGTAGAGAGAGAGAACAGCCTAGTACAAGAAGAAATAATAGCCCTCCCGGGCGACACCGGCGCAACAAAAAATCGCCACAAGAACAAAGAGACTTATTTTCTAACGCAGGTTGGAATGACCAACTAATGAGCACAGTTGTTTAAAATAAAAAATAAATAAATAAAAAAAAGACCAATTAAGCGGGTTCTTGCTCAGGTAGGCTACGACAAGGAAACAAAAGAAAGAAAAAAAAAAAAACGACCATTCAGGAAAGAAAGATGGCGGGAAAACAAGAGGGATAAAAAGAAAGAAAAAAAAAAAAACGACCATTCAGGAAAGAAAGATGGCGGGAAAACAAGAAACGACACATGCTCACGGAGGAGGTCGGATAACAAAGAAACCACATGCTGACGGAGGGGTAGGTAAGAAAACAAAACGACAAAAGAGCAACGAGCAGGGGCACACTGGCAAGTTGTCCGACGAGTGAGGGTAACACAGAAAGGAGGGAGGAGGAAAAAGATCATCATCCCATGCTGGGCAACCAACGGAGATACAACAGGACAGCAGGAATGGTGACCGAAAATAAAGAGAAAGTGTCAGATATACACCCATATCATGACGGCGKCAACAATGAACTACAAAAAAAAAAAAAAAAAAAAAAAAACAAGAACAAGAAGAGAAGAAGTGTGGGATTTCCTCGCCGTCGAAAAGCATCAAGACAAGGCATTAAACATCACCCGCTAGCACGGTTGAAAGAAATCCGGCGACGGTCCGAATTCCCACCTTCACACACACACACACACACACACACACACACACACACACACACACACACAGAGAGAGAAAGAGAGAGCTAAGGAGTATTGCGGCACGTTAGAGACGCATGAACATACAGAACACAAAAAACATTATTAAAAAGAAGAGAAAGAAGAAGAGGGGGCATGAACGTACAGATGGCGCAGTCCGAGGACGGAGACAACACGTGGGCGCCACTTCGTCCGTTTCCTTCCGCCTTTTCCGGCGATTATCCGGTGATTAGTCTTTGCTTGGGCCGCCAACAAAATTACACCAACTGGGGTGCAGAGCAGCACCAATTGACGCAAATTGATGGACCCCTCAGAGAGCCACCGTCTCCACTGCAATCCTCCGTCAGGTAAACCGAAAGGCAAATGCCAGAACTCACGGCAAAGCAGAACAAGCGCGAAGAGGTGATTGGACAAAGAAGGAAAATGCAGAGAGACAGAGGCAAAGAGAGAGAAAGAGAGAGAGACAGAGAGAAGTGAAAGAGGACGGAGAGAGAAAACAGCAAACGGTGTACAATACGAGAGGAGTTTACGAGGCGGCAGATGCCGCTCTATCAGAAAGAGACATGAGAGTATGATGTGTTGTGTGTAAAGAAAGAGAGAGAGAGAGGGAGAGAGATAATGACGTGGTAGAAGACGAACGAGCTTGGGAGAGAGAGGAAAACAGAGGGAAAGACAGAGAGAGAGAAACAGAGGGAGAGAGAGAGAGAGATTCAGAAAACGACAAGTGGGGGGCGGGAGTGTTCCTTCAACGTGTGAAAAGCTGCAGGACGCAGAGACGGGGCTAAAGAGAGCTGTGAGAGGGAGAGTGAGTGAATGAGTGAGCGAGAAGAGTTGAGTGAAGAAAGATACTCAGAAAGGGACCAAGAGCCAGCACGGCACTACTCCGTAGCAAAACCGAAGCTGGAATGAAAGAGAGGAGGGCAGTCAGAGGAGTACGCCGCACAGCAAATGCGGCGGCGAGGAGGCACGCACATCTATCCGAACCAAGTCAGGCGGCGAATGCCAGGTCCGGGCAGGCAGAGAACGGAGGACAAAGACGAGATGAGAGTCACGCACAAAGTCTGCAAGAAAGAAACGCAAACGCAAACGGAAGGGAAGGCTGGAGGCACACTCCAACGCCCTCCTTACTATTCGGGTAAAGACGCTGTACAAGTAGGCGCCAATCTCCTTCCCAGTCCCAGCTCATCCTGATCAATCTCCCCACAACAATTACACATTCTTCTCGTCTCTCCTCAGACTCCCCATGACCCACCGAGACAGACCAGCCTTCTCCGTTCGCAGACACTCTATTCAGTATACTCCTGAGAAACAACCATGGCCATCTTCACCCTCCTTCTCTCTCTCTCTCTCTCTCTCTCTCTCTCTCTCTCTCTCTCTCTCTCTCTCTCTGTGTCTCTCTGTCTCGCTCTCTCTATTGTGTTTCAAGATGGCCGCCAGAACGACGGCCCGGCTACAAGCCTTGTTACCCGCACCCGCCCCCGCCCCCGCCCCCCCTGTCACCTGCCAGCGCGCCCGCCCCCGCCCTTGCTCATCCTGTTCGCGCGACACTCCCGCAAATTCACAAGCAGTCAGCCAACCAGAGATAGGGGGGCAGTCGAGCCTAGAAGCACGACGGTCGGTTACATGGGAGCACGGCAGCGGCCTCGCCGAAAGAAGAGGCCAGACGTTGGTTGGTCGGTCGGTCGGTGGATCACACAGCTACTACTACGGTAGAGAGACTCAGCTCACGCCCCACGCCAGTTGCCCGTCGTTGGCTTGTTAGCACTGGGAGCGGGAGCAAGAAAGCTGAACGCGGAGGCGACGGCGGGAATCGGGCAAGAACACTTCGCTCGCTCGCCCGCGCGCCGGTGTGTGTTTCAGCTCACCTCGCGCTCGGACGGACAGCTCGGCTCGAGCTCAGGCCAGCTCGGCTAGGCTCGGCGCCCGCCCCCGGCCCCCCTCCCCCCTCCGCCGTCCCCCCTCCCCGGCTGGGCGCTCTCTCCCTTTCTTGGAGAGCCACGGATGCCGCCAAGAAACCGAGAAACCGAAACCGAGCTCGAAAGGCGCCGACTTTAAAAACCCTTCGCCCAAGTGAAATATTCGCAATGTGGCGCTCTTCCTCCCTATTATTACTCCTACTTTTTTTTCCCTTCCTCCTATTACTACTCTTTACTGCTACTTTTCGGCCTACTCTTTTCTTCCGCGTTCTTACTGCCACTCCTGCCGCTCAGCCTTTGACTCTGTGAGTCCGTCAACGTTCTCCGCGTTTCTTGATTTTGCCTGCCGGGCCTTTTCCGTCCAATTCCCCCTCCTTTTTTGGCCCTCCTCCTCCCTCTCCCTCCCTCCCTTGTCGGACAACACGGCGAGGAGTTCGCTGTTCGGCACAGCCCCCAACCACCACATATTGCAGTCGCATTTATGGAAGGCCTAGGTAGCGGATCCCTCTCACTCCCACGCTGTTATCTCAGTCCATCGCAATGGCCCAGCTGGCCCCCCCGCTGGTCCACACCCTCCACCCGAACCTCTGATGCCCGGAAATTTGAACGCCCTGTCACGTGTGATGAGAGTGTGCCCTTCGACAGACAATACAGAAATGTCCTGTCGGAGGACATTTCCCCAGTGATGGAGTCATCACTCCGGATAGAAGGCTGAGAATCGTCCAGTGGGCTATAGCGCCTCGCTGCACTACTCTGCACATGCACAATAGACAAAGAAAATGGCAATGTGTCTTTCCATGTTCAAGCGGTGGATTCGTTCTCATTCTGCGCATTTAGAGAGTAGTGCAGCCAGGCCCATAGCGAGAGGAAGGCCCTCGAGCTAGAGGTCGGCTCTACTGTTGCTCAGGCTCCGTCTATCTGCGGGAAGCTGTACAGCTGGCCATTCGGCACGGAGTCTCTATCAAACAGATGTATGTATAAATAGACCCCAACCAGACCTCTTCAGCCAGGTTAGGGCTGCCTGAAATGGTCCCCTGGAAACTGTGATGCAATACGCACCCACCACAGTTTTGGTGAGTGCTGCGTGGCTGCACTCACTCTCACCCAGCCTTTCTGACAAAACCCAATGTGCCTCCTCTCGTCTGATAATTTGCTGGCGCAAAGGAGCAACCAGGCAACCCCCGACCCAGAATAGATGGGGCAAGCGTTTGGGTACAGAAGAAAACACTGGGAAAACATGGTGTGGTGAGTACCCACATAACCGCGTGTCTCCCCACCTGCAACGGGTGATTTTGGCTCGGAGGTTTCTCACACTCCCCCGTCAGTGTGAGTTTTTCCACAGTCCAAGAGTAGCATAGACGATGGTGGCTTCTTGTACTCCCCGGAAGCTCCACAACCTCATCGCCACAGCTAGACCAGATACAATGCAGATAAGAACCAGTGGGGTGAGTGAAACCCCACAGAGCACTCACCCAAGGCGCAGGTATTCCAAATAGACATGGGATGAGCGTCTATTCAGAATGAGTACGTGCAACGACAATGTTACATGGGCACCTGGGCTGCGAGCCTGACGCCTGGAATTCTGGAAGCACGAAACTAAAACGCCACCCGGCCCAGCGTTTGACGTTTCGGCCTCGTTTTCTTGTGGCGACAAGTTTCGGACTGCAAGGTTGGGGCCATGTATTAGCGGTTTAAACCACCAGTACCTTTCCCGGGCAAAATGCCGAGTACCTCCATGTTATTAGGTCGTTAACGTGGTGGCTGCATCGGCCTGCCACGCAGGGCTATATCCGTTCGAGTCAAAGGGGGGCTTAGAATGCAGTAGGTACACGGCGGCCTCACCTGGACCGGCGTGCCAGCCAGATGCGGCCCGAGAACTCAGCGCGCAGAGCCTGCGGCCAACATATGGCAAAGGTACTGTCGTTTTAACCTGTGAGGTTCATCCAGACTGCCCTAGAAGAAGACGGTCGCGATTAAACCACCAATACTTCCTCGAGTCGTGCTCGTTAACACGCCACGATTTTAGGAAACGTACGGGCTACTACAAGAGCGCCCAAATTCATCCGACTAGAAACATTTCTACTCTTTTTTTTTCTACGGCCGATATTTGGGACAAGTACTGGTGGTTTAAGCCTGCATGTTCCGACTTTAGACGAAGCCATAATTTGAAAGGGGGAGGGTTCGACTACGTGTCACGTGAAGAACGGAAAATCGTTGAAAGGCAGAGTGATTGTATCCGTCCAACTTTCATTTCGAACTTTGCAAGACACGTTATTGAGCTCTCGCACATAACAAAAGTTCCGCTTATACACCGATTACTTTCATACGTGAGAAAAATATCATAGAGCCAAACACAACCGTTGTGATTTTTTAACCAAGCAAGGTTATGTATTTTCCCTCATAGTTGAATGAAAGTTTCATAGCCTTAACCTTGTACCCTGACTATATTTTAACGAAAATTGATATTGAAATATTCATTTTTACCTGAAACTCTATGATACACCTCCATTTTCATGCTTTCGTGGCTCCTCGACATCTTAGTCCCACTTCGAACGGAAAACGGCACACGCCGTGAGGCAACCAGCACGTCTGAGTTCACAAAAAACTTGACAAGATGACGTGGGGATTTTAATTGAAATGATATAAATTTTTGTTCATTTTAACCAACAACTATTAACAAGATTTCACAAGTTTGTTAAATCGTAGGATGATATTTTATTATTCACGCCAGTTTCATATCAATATATGTGGCAGGTGTGACATGTATTCTCGCACTTTTTTACTCTCATCCTAACGCAGATTTTTGGCCTAACGTAGAGAGGCAACAGTTGTGAGTGAGACGTACGTGAGGCTACGATATAGATCCGCCAACCTTATCAGTATTTTGATAAATAAAGAACTCTCCCTTTATCAATTTTGGTTTTGTCATTTGTAATACAATGTTTTTCTTTATTCTTAGTTTTACTTCCATTTAACGAGGTCATTGTTATCTCATGGCAAACCTTTATGTTCCGACTTTAAATGAAGCGATAATCTAGGAGCAAGAGGGTTCAACTATGTGTCACATGCAAAAATGAAAATCATTGAAAGACAGCGTGATTGTATTCGTCAAACTTTCATTTCAAACTTTGCGATACACATTGTTGAGCTCTCGCTCAGAACAAAGATTTCGTTTATACACTGATTACTTTCATACTTGAGAAAAATAGCATAGAGTTCACCACAACCGTTGTGATTTTTTAACCAAACAAGGTTATATAAATGGAAGTATCATTGCGTAAATTTTGTGCAATGATCATATTTCAATGGAAAACGATACTAAAATATTCATTATTACCTGAAACTTTATTATACACCTCAACTTTCACGCTTTCAAGACCCTTCCACGTCTTAGTCATACTCCCAAGGGAAAACAACACACGCTGTGAGGTAGCCAACATGTGTCAGTTCACAAAAAAACTTGAGAAGATGGTGCAAGGATTGTATTTTAAACGATATTTATCCGCCTCCCACACCCGTACTAGTCCTCCTATCACCCGAACTCGGTCAATGGAAAATAAACTTTATATTTTTTAGCTTGATGTAGAGGTTAATCATCTATGAGAGTAGGCAATCATGACTTATCAACATTTGCCGCCCACGACCTATGTGTTATATCCTGGTGTGTGTCTACCACGCACATGAATCGGAAACTTCGACCTCTTAGGTTATCCGAAGCGTAAGCAAACAACAATGCTTTGGGTATTGTTGAGTGAGGTAACCCATAATTGGTCACCATGTCAATCCAGATACCGATTATTGGATGCTTAATTGATTCCTCCATGTCAATCTGTTAAAGTAATTTTCCTCGTTTTAATTGAGCCAAAAACTTTTATAGTATACAGAATTGGATACGAACTTTAACTAAGCTTAGATCACACATGCTCAATAATGCTAAAACAACAATACAAACTATATTATGTTTTTTTACTATCAAAATGAGAATATAAAATATACTTTTGTTTTGTCAATTTCCCTAACTGGTAACATGAATCATGAATATCATTTATAACCATTTATAGCTAAAAATGAGAGTAGAAAAAACACTGTAACCTTTTTAAGCTAAGACAAACGCTTAAAAAATATAACGCAAACAAACAATACTCGACTATATTTGTTGATTCAAAGTCATACCATACATAGCTTTAGCTTGTAATTTTTCATACATTAAAAAAAAATTCGCTGTCGTTTTAACTCAAAAATAAGGTACGTACCTTGTATCAAAACTAAATAAAAAAATGGGTTATAAGAAATCGCTGTTAAATTTTTGAAGAGGAGGTACCATCATACTTTGTATTATGTATTCGAATACAAGGTGCGTACCTTATATTCGAATACAAGGTACATATCTCGTATTCAAGGTCCGCCTTGTAACTGTCACGTAACTTTTTTTTTTTTTTTTTTCCCCCTCTCTCTCTCCCTCTTTCTCTCTCTCTCTCTCTCTCTCTCTCTCTCTCTCTCTCTCACACACACACACACACAC